GTTAGGGCTTGTCTCGTGATGCAGTTTGATGATTTCCGTAATGTTTATTCCATCCGCTTCCAACGTCGTTTCCTGATTTTCTCTTTAATTGGAAGCTGGTTTCTCCTCTCATAAAAAAGGTTGTTGCTGATGGTATCCGGCCATATATATTTTACTGAAATTCACATACCCTATATTGGGAGATAAATTCAATTGGAATTTGCTTGATTTTCGATTATTAAATTTGAATTGATAAGTGTCAAATCCAATGAAAATCGTTTATTGAAAAAAGGATAATAATTTTTTTCTTTCAATCATTTGTCTAAATAAGCAAAGATGGATAATGGCTAGCAGTGAAAATGAAGATGCGCATTTCGTCCTATTTGGAAGTCGCTAGACGGATGTAATTTCAACCCGCAGTTGATGTTCACTCTAAGATTCGAACGTAGTACCCTTTGCTTCAAACAACATCGCGTTAACCATTTAGTTACTGAGTCCAGATAGCCATTAGCTTGTGCAATGTGGTGAAGTTTAAATTCACTTGATATTGTTTACTTGAAGGTTTTCATTGATGTTTAGGGCTGATCAATTTCAGTCCTAAACATCAATGGGAAGATTCAAGTACACAATACCAAGTGAGTCATTATAGATTTGTTCTAATCTTAGACAGTATTATCTTTTATTCCTTCACATTATTTAAAACATTATTGAAGTTGACAATCAGTTCTGATGTGTAATTGAATATCTCGTTACTACTTTAGATTGTCCTTTAGTCTATTATGTAATAGTTTTTGATACTAGTAAGTATTTTCAATCTATTTAACCACTGAATTATCTTATAATTCTATACTATTATGCATTCATTAACCATTAATATGATCATATAACCTTAATAAGTATCAGTGTGGAAAAATGTGAGGACAGTCCATGGGTGAAATCGTGGAATCTCAAAAAGAGTTGAAGTTATTCCATCCAATCATCTTTTGAAAAAAATATTCCAGAATTTCTACGTATAGCTTCCCTATTGGATAAATGCAAATAACCCCCTTGTATGCGGATTGGATAAATATAATAATTATTTCGTTTTTACTAAAACTTATAAATATCTGAGAGTTTTGTACTATAATTGACATTGTTTAGAATAACATTCCTTCTCATTCATCTTCTGTCCTGTCATTTGCGGCTTGGTAGGTTCTTGCGTTTGAGTACTCAAGTTGTACTCGGTATATGAACAATCTAAGTTCTAGATATAACAAAAATAAAATTCCCTGAAAAATATTTCTTGATATACAGTTTTGTCGCATGGAGGTTATCCAATGCATTCCAATAATTTGATTATTTATTCTCTGAAGAAGTGACTTACACTAAGCCACGAAACGTCAGAAAATCTAATTTTCTACCCATTGGGATATTACAAATATATTATTTATTTACATTCCAATAACTGTTAGATATTTGTAGTCAATAGGAAAATAATGAAATTCTGAGAATAGTTTTTATTATATTCACTTAATATTGTTTACTTGAATCTTCCGATTGATATTTAGCACTACAATTGATCAGTCTCTTATAAGCATATGTGTATACTGTCCGCATTGCCTCGATATTGTCTTAATTCACAAGCATTCTAAGCTAACAGTGGAATCCAGCACACACCTTTCATCCTACTTGGAACTCGTCAGCTGGATGTACTTGCATCTCAGAGTTGGCGTTTACTACTGGACTCAAACCTAGTACCGTTAGCTTCAAACGCCATCACATTATCCACTTAGCTACTGAGTTCAGATAGCTACTTGCTTATGCAATGTGTTCAAGCTTAAATTCAGTTGATATTGTTTACTTGAATCATCCCATTGATATTTAGCACTGCAATTGATCAGTCTCTTATCACCTATATACATCCTGTACGGATTTCCTCGATATTGACTTCATTCACAAGCATTCTAAGCAAAGATTGATAGTGGTTAACAGTTAGTTAACAAAACATATTTACAATCGTTTAGGAGGCAAATATTTCTTGTAAGATTCATACATAGATCAGTAAATGTTATATTTAGAGATATTTCTAGTGAATTATTAAAGCTACGACTGATCTTCTATAGAACCATGATATTCATAATGAATAACTATATAAATGTCAGTTTAACAAAGATTACTGATTGGATACCTTAAAATATCTTTATATTACAAATGATATCATGGGTTATCCTTGATGATTAATCATCAGGTAACAAAATAAACTCGGTTGTTATGTGTTGATTGTGTCGTGATTCATTAATTACCGGTAGGATACAAGAAGAATAATCACTTTTGTAATGGAAATTGTTAATTGACTGTAAGTGATACAATTTAATACTGTAGACAAGAATATACGACTATTTATTAAATTATTGTTCATTGAACAGGTTGATGGTATTTTGCATTATTATCTAAATGGATAACATAATAAATCGTGAAATCAAGCATGAATTGAACGAACTGCTTGTTATAACTTGTGGGCCTTGTGACCTGTTACTGTATAACGTAAAGATACCGCCAATTAGAGAACAGTAACTTATCGACTGGACCAATGTCACATACAGTTGTATAAGTTGTCTAGAATCGTTATCGGTATTTCTTCCTTTCTAGCCCTGCCTGTTAAGTCCACAACGCCATTCACAGCCTTTGTGATATGAAACATGTATTTCAAACATACCGGGTTTATATGCCAACCAAAAAGACCACATCGAACCATAAAATAGGAAACAATATTTGTACAAGTTTTAGCCAAATGTGATTGTAAATAAGGGAGACAGTAATTGATAGACATGGCATAACTCAAGAATGGTAAATCGTATAATAATAGTTCATAGGTCAAAGTAAAGCTTATGATAAGAGGAACACGAATATGAATATTTTTAGTAACTTAACATTTATATAATAAAATACATGTATAGAAGTAGTCCATAAAAAGATCCTAACAGTTACCAATCATTATTCTCATCAGGATATAACACTGCTCATTTCATATTCCTTTACTAGGACCAACTGAAAATACATTCATCTTATTTGCAATATGTTAATTAAATCTAAAACACGATTTCGTAGCTAAATATATATTTAAATCTTGATTCATTACTCCCAGAAATGGAGACAGACATCAGAAAAATGTGAAACTATGAGATATAACTAGAAAGAAAGGTCGAGGACAGAATTGGTTGTAACATGCTGTTCGGCGGCCTATGCTCGATTAAGAGTAACAGGTGTATGTAAGTACTTAAAATACATTCGTCTTATTTGCAACATCTTAATTAAACCTGAAACACGATTTTGCAGCTGTATATTTATTCAAATCTCTGTTCATTACTATTCCATATCCATATTTATTTTTAAGAAAAAAACATTCGGTGTTATGCAGTGAAACTAGTCAAGTAGAAGACCATTTTTTCACAATCATCATTGAAAGAATTTAAAGATAAATTATTTGTCCATTTCAGAGTTGGACCAAAAAGCAGCTTTCTAGCTACTCAACTGACCTCATAATACTACACTAAATGTTTATTAGATCATTCAAAGTTATACTATAACCCTTCTGTCATCTACTCTCATTTAATAAATGAAATTATATCTACTTGAAATAATAAATAGATGAAAAAGCGAGAGAACTAAGTTTCTACCGGAACGTTCTTTTCAAACACACCTCCCAACAGTTTTGTCGATTATTTAATACTTACTGCTAATGGAACATAGGCCGCCGACCAGCATTCTCTAATCCACTCTGTCCTCGGCCTTCCTTTCTAGTCCTATCCATTTTTTGTTCATTCTTCTCAATTCTGTCTCCATTTCTCATCGCATTGTGTTCTTTGGTCTAGATCGTCCATCTGCATCCTAGATGTTCACTGTAACCCGTGCTTTACCCCAGATGTTGACGTCTTTATCGTCCAGTCGATCATCAGGAAGAAGAGAAATGTTGAGAGTAAGAGACTTTGCCTGACACCGGTATTAATTTCGAATGAGTCTGTCAATTGTCTTCCATACACGATTTCGCAGTTTAATCCATCATAGGAATTCCGTCTGATATTGACTATCTTCTGAGGCACTCCGTAATTTCGAAGAAGCTTCCATAGTTTTTTTCTGTTTATGCTTACAAATACTTTCTCTTAGTCAATAAAGTTAATGTAAGGTGATGAATTTCATTCAATTGATTGTTCCACAATCATCCGTAGTGTTACGATTTGGTCGGTGCACGATCGCTTTTTACTGGATCCATCCTATTGTTCTTGAATCCGGACGTTTACGGAGTACTTCATTCTGTTTAACAACAACACCGTGTTGAAGACTTTTCCTGGCATTGAGAGAAGTGCGATGCCCCTGTAGTTATCACACTTGCTAAGATTATTTAATACTCCTGAAACAATTTTTTATTCACGTATATGTCAGTAACGTTGTTCAATTATATTATCATTCATTTTCTACTATTAGCATTACTGTCATAGAATTCATATCTTTAATGCATTTTTGGTAAGATTTTTCATACATGTCTATGCCTTAACCGGTAATCTTTTCTCGAAATCTATAAGAGCTTGTAGAAAAGAAAACAAAAAAATTTAATTCATGTTTACTATCTTTTAACTAAACTGTAAACATACGTAAATTTAACTATTCAAAGTATCACTTATCAATGCTTATTAAGGCTATATGCTGAACTTGATTTTGTAAGAACAGTTGAATGGATTTACATAAAACTTAATGGTTAGTTTAGATAATTTTGAATAATTTTTCTGTTTAGCGTTATTTTAGAGAGTTAGTTTTCTACGGGATGGGGTCACTAACCCCATGCCTAACCCTCCTCCCTAATCCAGTCTTGTGACTGGCAGTAGCCACAGAGGGGCTTCGGGAGGAGTTTCATGTTTTTGCCTTGAAATAATCATTAGATATGTGGAAAACATCGGTTATACGCTTTCTCTACTAAAAATTCTCTGAACTGTTTTATGTAGTCTTGGAGTCAATAATTTGTTAATTGAATCGTCTTTCAATTTTAGGTACACAAAGACGGATATTTTTATTTTGATTAAGATCATGAACCAATTGATGCCAAAACACATTTGAAAAAAGTGGAAGCACTGGATTACCATTTCATCTTATTGTAGGACTCCTCAACAGTGCACAACCTCGATTTCACTTACGGGATTCGGATCCAGAACCTTCGGTCTCACGTGTGAAGGTTTGACATCTAGAACACTGAGCTGGCCGTCATTTAACGGTGGTAATTTCTAACGTCAACCAATCCATAGAATTGCGCGACCATCTTCGGTTCTACGCGACACGAATTTGATGTGTAATTTAACGAAATCAATGGCGATCCATAGCTTTGGGATATATTTTTATTTCGACAGTGTAATATGAAGATGAAGATGATCAGAACCATATGATGATATAGTTGTTCAATACATTTCGAGCAATCTTTTCACTCAAAATATACTTGTTAAGAACATATATATATATATATATATATATATATATATATATATATATATATTTATCTTCAGGTTAGGTAAGACCATAGGTCCTGGGTTCGAATCTTGAGAAGTGGAATACAGAGTGTGTGCCGCTGAGGAGACCAACAGTAAGAAGAACTGGTTGTCTAGTGCTTTCAGCTTTTCCATGATGGTCTAGCTTCAATTGACTCACGATCTTAACCATTGAAATTACTATAATATCCACAAAACCCATCTGATATTAATCAACATATGCTCACCACTGACTGCCCTCAAGAGCTATTTCCTGGAGTTCTAGTGAGAACCAGTGACCAGTGGAGTTCAACAAGGTCTGTTGTGAGATAGTAACTCACTGATGACAATGGTGGATGTGTCGCTGAATTTTGTGGATTGGTTGAAGTTAGACATCAACACCGTTGGATGGCGGCTCAGTCGACTATTATTTATTTGTTTGTTTTCGGATTAGGAATTAATCAATTTTCTAATTGAATGTTAGATTTGGTTTGTAAGCTCTTCTAATAAACTGTAGGTTAAATTTACACAGTGACTTGAATGTGAGAGAAAAGGTGCGAAATATGGAAGAAACAATTTATTGTAATGGTTCGTTCATTGTAAAAGAAAATGAGAGTGTTTACAATATTTTAGATGGTTTTAGGGGTTTAGGAAACTTCTGGAACGCTACGAAACATAGTAGTAGTAGTATTGATCCAATCGGAAACGTGATATGTGACTTCTCACTTTCTAGATGTTTCTGTCAAAATGTCTATTGAATGGTGATTGGATAAGATGTTTCATAGTGTTTTCAGAGTCCTTTTTTTCGAGAAGTTTCCTGGAATTCCAAAACATAATATCATCTATAATTCTCATCATTCATTTAAGAATTTCCCCGACATCAGTATGAGTTCATAAAACAAATAATGTAGTATGTTTTGAACTTACAAATTATCTAAATGAGAGCTTAATTTAAATTGATATTTATCATAGTTTATGTTCTATTGAGGTACTTGTAAAAGGCAAAATCCACTGAACTGCTGTTTCTTTCAAACATGGAATATTAACAACGCCTTGACCTTTATTCTGCAACCCGATAGCACTGATTTCGAATAATTCATAAAGTAGTACTTTGCCATGATTTTACTCCAGACGATTTTGAACTCTTTTAGTCACGATATTTTTGGTCGGCGGCCTATGATCCATTGGGAGTAACAAGCATAAGTAAGTCATGACCGTTTATTGGAACCATTTAATAGGAATATCTGTGATGAATATCACTTACAAACTAAAATGATATTCCAAAAGATTTCTCGTCAAATGCATTTCATATTCCATGAATTCTGGAAAGTAGGAAATGAATCCTTAATCAAATTGTTCGGGACCTGATCATCTAGACAATACCTACCAGTATGGGACTCCTCAGCAGTGTGCATTCACGATCCTGCTCCCCACGAGATTCCAACCCAGGACCTATCAGTCTCGCTTACGAGCGCTTCACCATTAGACCACTGAGTTGGTCGGCATTCAACAGTGTTATTGTCTAACTTCAACCAATCGTGGATGCGCACTGCTGGGGAGTCGCATACTAGGACGAAACGGCCATCCAGTGCTACCAGGTTCTTCATGATGGTTTAGCTTCAATTGGCTCATGATCTCAATCATTGAAATTAAAAATAAATTGTCAACTACACTAGAATTGGGGTTAAGAGAAGACAATGAAATCTTATTCCTCTGGATAATGATCTAATATTACCAAGGTAAATTTAATATGAGAACAAACTAATTTTGAATACAAAAAAGGGGTTTAAGTTTTTTTATGTCCACAGCTTCAATTCACATTCGTATATGCTGTTTTTACACCATAAAAGCTTAATTAAGATCAATCATATGATCTGTTTCAATTATTTACATTTTTTCACAGAAATAATAATCATATGCCTACTTATGACTAACTTTAAGATAAATTACTGATATTTTATTCTAATTATGTAAGAAATGATAAAATTGATTTACTGAATTTTTTTTCTTTTTGTTTTCTCTCAATTATTTACTGTGATATATAGATGTATGAACTAAAGAAGTATATCGATTGTGTTTGTTTTTTTCTTTTTTTCCTTTCTTTTCTTTTTTGTTTTTTCTTCTACAAAATATTTTCATCAAAATTTCCAGACAAACGTTCCTCTACTAAAAAGAAAATTCTAGAATCAGTTCATTATTAATAATAATAATAATAATATTATTATTATTATTATTATTATTACTGTTGTAAGACATTATAATATAAAAGCCCTGAACTACAATAGTAATAACAATAATAATAAGACATTTTAATATAAAAGCCTTGCATCATATGCATTGAATTGATTAAGATTTTATCACAGGAAGTTCACTTCTCATTTACATGTAATAATAGAGTAACCGACTTAAAACATATTTTTGTTTCTGTCTTATCTTACATCATATCTGTATTAAATTATTGTTAGTTAATTAATATTTTCTTTCGTTTATAGTGGCATAGTTTCGTTTTTCTAATCGTTATTATGTAAATCTTAACGATGTTTCAAATCAGAATGTTATAAAATGTGATGATTGTGAATATCAGTTCTAAGATGCAGGTACATCCAGCTAACGAGTCCGAAATAGGGTGAGACGCGTGTCAAACTGGATTCCACTACTTGTCACTATCCATTTTTTGCTTATAAAGCAGTGACTATAGTTTATTTACGGATAGCATAAATCATATTGAAAAGATTTGAAGTGGAGAGGAGAATGTGTATGTGTGTGTGTGTGTCTGCGAACAAATACAGAGGCAGATTTATTGTCAAATCAATATAAGAAGCAGTTTGGCAACGTAAAGATTAATAATAGGCTCCGTGTGCATATATATATGGGAAAGAGATTGAATCATCGAGTAATATTTAAGTAATCAATATTTTAACTCGAGTCCGTCATGTAATCAAGAGTACACGTTTATACAGATATGATAATTATCATAATAATACAAAGAATTATTCGAATTGTAACTGCTTGAATAACATTGTCTGTTAAGTAAGTTAATAAAAAGACTTAATCAAAATTAACCATAATCGAAATGGATTGCAGGAGAGTTACTATATGTTATAAATGGATTTGAGATGCTCAGTTGCAACATAAGTTAAAGCACTTAACAAAAATAGTAGATCCAACATATATTAGAATTCACTGGGATCGGATATCTTATTGTGTATTTTACAAATTTAGAATTACAATACTATTTTTACGTCCCTAACTTATACAATTATCGCGAAATATGATAGCCAAATATAGATACGCTGATTTATACGACTAAGCTAATGACGAATACACATGTATGGGTAGGCTAGAGTTCCGATTGATTCTTTTCCCACCTAGCCCTACCTGTTAAGTTCAGAACATCAATCTAAGGTTCCTCTATACGAATCATATATTTCAAACATATTTGGTTTATATGCAACCAACTTCAGACCATATCACATCAAAAAAATTGGAAAGAACATTTTGTACAAGATCAAGCCAAAAGTAGCTATGGTTGTGAGAAACTGTTACTAATAAATTGGGAATATCTCAAAAATATTAAATCGTATGATAATAGACAATAGGTCAGTCTCTTATTGACATATGTGCATACTGTGCAGATTGCCTCGAGTGATCAATTGAAGTTCTATATATCAATGGGAAGATTCAAGTAAACAATACCAAGTGAACTCAGACTTCACCCCATTGCATAATTAAGTGGCTACCAGGACTCAGTAGATAAGTAGATAACGTGATGGCGTTTGAAGTGAACGATACTGGGTTCGAGTCCTAGAATGAACACCAACTCTGAGATGCAGGGTCATCCATCTAACGAGTCTGAAATAGCACGAAACGCGCGTCCTGAATTCCATTGCTAGTCATCTTTGCTTATAAACAACACAATGAATAAAAACAATTCTGTATAGTTTTCATTCGTATTTCCATTTTATACATGAATCATATGGTAAATACTTTCAAATCTGACTTAAAATAATATGTTTCCTTTCTATAATATTAAATAGCTGATCTAATTAATCAAAAGGAATGATTCAAAGTTTACAATGTATACTTTATAAACAATTCCATCGGATATTCAATGAAGGTTGTAAATTTCCATTGACTGTGGTGGTTGGGCCACGTGTTACATAAGCTCGATTACCACGACTCGCAATGCTGACTAGTGTTGGGAATGGTTGGAAGAAAGTTAGGAGCGGCCAAACCAAAACGTGGCATCAGTGCTTGAAGTCACTAACTCCTAGTCTTAGCCATGTTGGTAGATGCGGAATACTTAGTTGGGGTGTGCGTGACTATCGTAACCAATGGTTGGAGACTCTGGGTGACATGGCTCAGAATTATCAAAATGGTATGGGTGTATACACTCTTTGTCATCCCTTAAACGGCGAGATTAAAATTGCTTTATATCTTTCTATGAACTAGTTCTTTCTTCCTGTATTATATCTTCATATCCAATCTTTATTTTATATATTACTATCATTGAAGTGACTACTTGTATGAATCTAGTGTTCATCTTGTTGTGCTAATGAAGTGTGGCAACTTGAACCGATGAATATATGTGCCTGATCCTACGTTGTAACTGACTGACTGATATTTAGTTAGAATGAAATACATTTTCTATTAATTAATGTATCTACACCTTTTTTTCCATATTTAAGCGTTTTAATATGAGACATGTAACAGGTTTACAACATTCTCAGTACAAGTTTCTGTTCTATGTGAATGGAAAAGTTTGGTAAGATAATTTTCATATTTCTATTCATTAATGTCAAACATACATATACTGTAATGTACGAGAACATCAGTGAGGACAACCAAGTGTATTTGAATACAAAATTACAGAGTCTCTTAGTAAAATCTGAGAACCACTTCACTCGCAAAATGTCAATCAGTCGTCTGAAACTCTATTGTTCCTTCGTTTCCACATCAATCATTCACTTTTCTCATTTTCTTTTCATTGATCTTCTTAACCTTCTGCCGTAAGGTATTTCACTTTCAATTGATGATACATACTAATTGTATATATTGACATTAATAGCACACACCACAATATAACTAAAGTGTGAACTTCTATTTCATAATGAATCATCTAAACTATGTATATTAGCTATATGATTAATCAGATTACTCTATTTTAATCCATAAGTTAGTAAAAGAGTTTCAGATTTCCATTTGTTTTAAAAAAGCAAACTTCATATCATAAATAAATTTCATATTTGCAAACAAATAATCGTATGTCCCATGAACTAAGAAAGTCTTAAGAAATGTTACCTTTCGAGTGTGAGACTGGAGATTCTCGGTTTAAGTCCTGGGTGCGGTATCGTTAATGTGCACTGGTGAGGAGCTCTATACTATAAAGAAATGGCCTTCCAGTTCTTCCATGTTTTTCAATGGTGATCTAGCTTAGATAGATTCATGAATTCAACTTTAAATATCAAATTATTTTCTATATTGACTGAAATGCACGTTCGATATAATGCAAATGGACTTGTTGAGTTATAGGTTGAACAAATGGTTTGATCATTTAAATTTCATTCACTGATACATGAACTAAACACATATTACTCGTATCAAATATTCTTCAGATATGAATAACATATAAGATGACTATATTGGTGGCCAGTTATTCTCTTTTTCTAATATCTGTTCATTGGTGTATTCGAGTCGGTTATATATTTTTTGAGTAATCGTTAACCATATTATTGATATATATTCAAATAATCAACTAGAATCTATACATTTATGCCCATTCTCTCCAGTAAGACACTGATAGAGACCAAACCAGTGAATTTATATTAATATATGCTTTAGATGGTGGATGATTTTGATGGAGTTTTGTTCTCTGAGCTAGATGGTTTGATCGTGGAGCGTTCATCGAAATTCAAACACTTCACTTCTACCTGAAATTTGTGCTGATGATGTCATTCAGAAGAACGATGAAAGCTGCACGACCAAATCATCTAGCTCATAGAGCAAAACTTCATTGAAAATTTAGTGATAAAGCCTTTTAATGTAATCTTTTCTCCTTTTTTCTTATCACCGAACTAATAAATTGCCTTGTATTATTGAATATTAGAGTTAAGCCTAATGACAATTTAATTAAAAATCAATAATGTTCTCTCATTGATGTTGTTTAAAGAAATGTTAACAATTCCATTGCTTTAGACCATACAACTAACTGCCATCTTTAATGTCAGTAACTAGGTATTTCTGTAGAAATTTGTTTTATAATTTGATCTGGATCTTACTAAAACTGGATGGTGAAAATGATGACAACTAGATTTATGGAGAAGCTAAAGATTTTCTGCTAAACTTAACCAAATATGGCATTTTTCGAAAGTTGCTTGTCTTTATTGTGGCACTCACAATGGCCACTTAAATAAATGTGTTCATATGACAATGTGATTTACTTCGTTTTCGGTTGGTTTTGCCAATCAACATAATTCCAAGCAGTTAGTTTTTATTCTGGTTATACGCATGACAAATACTTACGTGGTAAGCTTTATTCAGCATAAAACAGCATCGATTTAGGTCATAATAGTTTCATCATAGACAGTCAACTTTGTCTAGCATTGAGTTATTCTGGTTATTTTATTGTAGTAATCAAGTTTCATTGTAACTTCATGTTGATTTCTTGCAATCACAAAACATCAAACAATATTTCTTATTAGTTAAGAAGTTGTGAAGATTGTTAAGATATTGATTGAGATCATGAACCGATTGATGTTGGACCACCGTTGGAAACCTGGAAGCACTGGACGGCCGTTCCATCCTATTGCGGGACTCCTCAGCAGTGCACATCCACGATCCCACCCGCGAGATTCGGATCCAGGGCCTTCAGTCTCGCGTGCGAACGCTTGACCTTATTATAGTATAATAGGATACAGGACAGTTGATAGACGTTATCCAAGTAAGAACTGGAGTCAGAATAGGGTGCTTACTCTCTCTCTTTCTCTTTCATCTGGTGGTCGACTGGATTATGAAGACCTCGACATCTGAGGGAAAACACGGAATACAATGAAAAGATCAAAATCAATTAGAAGATTTGGACTTCGAAGATCACCTGGCCCTTCTATCACATACACATCAACAAATTCAAGTCAAAACAACTAGTGTAGCAACAGTATCTGCATCAGAAGGCCTCAACATACACAAGGGGAAAACCAAGATTCTCAAATACAACACGGAGAACACCAACAAAATCACTTTTGATAGGTAAGCTCTGGAAGATATGAACTTTCTCACGTAGCTGGTCAGCGGCATCATTAATGAACAGGGAGAATCCGATGCAGACGTTAGGCGATGATTGTAAAAGCAAGGATAGCATTCCTAAAATTGAAGAACATATACAACTCAAAACAATTGTCAACCATTATTAAAGTCAGAATCGTCAATACGAACGTCGAGATATTTATACTGTACACAGTTGAAACTTGCAGAACTAATACAACCATCATAAAGAAAATACAACTATTTACAAACAATTACCTATTCAAGATACTCAATATCCTTTGATCGGATACCATCAGTAACAGCCTACTATGGGAGATAACAAACCAACTTTCAACTGAAGATGATATTAGAAAAAAGATGTTAGAGGTGGATCGAACATGCATTGTTAAAATCACCAAACTTCATCATGATGCAAGCACTAACTTGAAATCTCAAATGAAAAACGGAACAATGACTGGATCCAGTGCACTGTTAGATGGAGTATTCTGGTGAGTGTTCTATGCCCCTCCATGAGGGGTAACATATAGTAGTAGTAATAGAATAGGTAAGTATTTTTATTGCTTATTATTAATCTTCGACTTAATATTGATCTTTTTTTCTCACTGTCTCTCTTTTTTTCTTTTGAATTTTCAGTGTATCATTTATCCTACAACACACCGTGGTAATATAAATACAGCAATTAAATTAAATTATTTAACATGGATTACAGCATTTATATTAGCTAGTCCACTTATTTATTTTTCACGTATTACTCAATTAAATCATTTACAATGTACTGAAAAAGCTGATAATCCTACAATACAAAAATTTAAAGTATTTTATTCATTAGCTGCATTAATTATACAATATATGACACCATTAGTTATTGTTATTATTGTATATTATCGTATTTGTTTAAGTATACGTGATCGGAAATTAAGGGCAATTCAAAAAATATGCTTATCACAAATTATACGTAAACAATTTCATGAACAATATAATAAAGAAGAAAATATATTATATACAAAAGAGAATGTAATTCCTTATACTAAAACACATATTCACCAACACCACCCCCACCTCCATCCCCACCCCCACAATAATAATAATAATAATAATGTTTATTGTTTAAATAATAATAATAATATGAATTGTTCAGATACTAATCAACAAATTAATAAATCACCTATAACAGCAATATCAATAACATCACAAAAAGAAGCAATTGATCGTAGACATCGTAAAGCAATTATATTATCAACAGTAATTGCTATTATATTTTGTTTAAGTTGGTTACCAATTAATACAATGAATGTTATAAGTGATATACGTGAATTAATTATTATAAGTAGTATTGATATAGCAATTAAAAATTTGAAAATTAATGAATACGATCATAGTAACAATAATAATTATAATAATAGTAATAATAGTAATGGTAATAATAATACAATGGATAGTGACAGAACTATCACATCCGATTCAATTAATCAACATTCCACAACAAATTTAAAAGCAATTAATCAAATAATGAGTATTGAAGCTAACAATATTAATGCTATTACAGTGATTATTACACAAGCATTATGTTTATTATTAATATTAAGTTCAGCTTGTTTAAATCCTATATTATATGGTTGGTTAAATAAAACATTTCGTATGGAATTTTATCAAGTACTACGTATACATTCATCTATATTACATAACATGAAATCATCTAATAAAAATAATTCATTAGATATTAGTATAAATAAAAATAATATAAATAATGATAACGATTTGATTGATAAAACAATTGAAGATAAATTACACCACCACTATCATCATCATGAACATCAGCACCATCATCATCATCATCATCATCATGAACATCAACATCAGCAACAACAACAACAGCCTTATCAATTTTCAAATGATCATATGAATAAAGTAAGAATTGAATATAATAGATCATTGACACCTACACAAGATTCATGTACTTTATTTTCATTATTTACATCAAGATCAATTGAATTGAATTCAACGCAAAATTCAATTCATAGTAGTAGTATTAACAATACTCCTAAAGATTCCATCACTAATACTAATTATAGTATGGATAATAATAATAATAATAATAATTTATTGATGAAATATATTCAATTAAAAAATGGTCAATTATGCAATGAAGATAAAATTTCAGATAAGATCATTCATGAACAAGAATTCTATCAGAAATTACATCTAGATAATAATTTAATTAATATTACTAATACTATGGAGAACTATAGTATAAATAATGAATCAAGAAAATATTTTATATCGAATGGTAATGATAATATTGTTAGTGTTAATAACAAGAATGACAATCACAATGATGATAATGATGATGGTGATGAGGATGATGATGAATGTGATGTGATTCCAGAGACAGATAGCAATATTGATTTAGCGAATCTTAGATATTTACCAGATATAACGTCTGTTTAATCGGAGAATTTCCTCTCACTTTTTCCTTTCTTTTTTTATTATATTTCAATTGATCTACTTTTGTGTGATTTCATTTTTAGTTCTGTTTTTCTTCTGTGTGTGTCATATTCTTCCAGTTGATATTTTGTTTTGGGTTATTTTTGTTCTTTATGTTATAATAATAAGTGCGTTTTTAGAAGAAGAAGAAGAAGAAGAAGAAGAAGAAGAAGAAATACATTATTTCATTACAGATTGCTTTAGTTGATTTATCTCAAGTGGTCAAGTTTGTTGTCAAGATAAGTTAATTACAAATTGTACCCAGAATATCGTAAAACAAAAATAAACAAAAGAAATTATGGATATGCATTGATTTATAATGCAACAATTTATGCTAAAACTATAAGTAGAATTTGTCAAAAGTGAATAATAAATATGAGAAGGGGTTTTGTGGAAATTGTAGGAATTTAAATAGTTGAGATCATGAGTCGATTGAAGCTAGATATCATGGAAAACTTGGAAGCACTGGACGCCCATTTCGTCCCATTGTGGGACACCTCAGTAGTGCGCATCCACGACACGACCTTGCATTGTATATTTTAAAGTTCTAGAAAGAAGCAGTGACCAGTGAAGTTCAACTGGGTTTGTTGTGAGATAGTAATTCACCGATGACAATGGTGGATAGTGGCGCAATTTCGTGGATTAGTTGAAGTTAGACATCAACACCGTTGGATGCCGGCCTGTTCAGTGGTCTAGTGGTTAAGCGGCTCGCGTGCGAGACTGATAGTTCCTAGATTGTGATCTAGCGGGGCGCGATCGTGGATGCTCACTTCTGAGAAGTCACATACTGGGTTGAAACGGCTGTCCAGTGCTCCTATGTATTCCATGATGGTCTAGATTCAATTGACTCATGATCTCAACCATTGAAAAAATAATAAATAATTGGAAGTTGTAAACAATACTAATAAAAATAAGTAGTTAAAAGTATGGGCAATATACAGTTTGAATAAACAAATATGATCAATCAATATTTAAAGTTGATTGCATAAGTAAAAATTGGTTTTAAACCATGTCACGTAAAAGACTAATCAATTGTAGTCCTAAACATTAATGGGAAGATTGAAGTCAACAATATCAAATGAATTTAAACATCGCTTCATCGCAAAACTGGTTAGCATTTTTTGAGCGAGTTAGTTTTCTACTGGATGGGGTCGTTAACCCCATGCCCAACCCTCTTTCTTCGTCCAAATTTGGGACCGGCAGTAAATCTAGAAGAGCTACCGGTGAGACAAACCATAACTTGCAATCCTGAATTAAAGCGGAAAAAGGAAGGTCAAAGAACACATTACATCGGGAAATAGAAGCAAATATGAAAAAAATGAATAACAACTGGTAAGACCTAGAAACGATTCCCCAAGATAGGATTGGATGGAGAATGCTGGTGGGCGGTCTATGCTTCTCCACGAGGAGTAACAGGCATGGGTAAGTAAGTAATTAATCACTGCACAAGCTAGTGGCCATCAGGATTCAGTAGCCAAGTAGATAACGCGGTAGCGTTCGTAGCGAACGGTGCTAGGTTCGAGTTCTAGGGTGAAGATGATCCAGCTAACGCGTCCCAAATAAGACGAAACGCGCGTCCAGGACTCGATCGCTTATAATGCATATCACGTAAGATTTGCAACTTTAGAACACACCAGCCTGTAAAACTGTATGTTAATGATTTCATAAAGGAGTCTGTTAAGATAACAGTTTATACAGATAATAATAGAATCCTAAGTATTTTATTCATTAATAAACATCTTCAACTTTATAAAATAAACTGAAACTATGGTTTATGAAAACGCCTAAAATTTACCTAAAGTGAAATAAAAATACATCATACTAACATGGGAATATATCGAATGATTTCATTACTAGCTTAAAAAATTGATTTTCCAAGTGTTTCTTTTTCTTTAGATAAAAGCCAAAAGGAAGATGAATTCCCCAGGTATCTTAATACTTACGTCTACATATATCAAATATATTTTTTCATATAAGCGAAAATGATCTGCATCTTAATTTAGATATTTTCAATAACAGTGTGATAAATAATAGTTTCAATAATTGAGATCATGAGTCATTTGAAGCTAGACCATCATGGAATACATAGGAGCACTGGACGGCCATTTCGTCCTATTGTGAGACTCCTCAGCAGTGAGCATCCACGATCCCACTATGAGGGATTCGAACCAAGGAACTATCGATCTCACGCGCGAACGCTTAACCACTAGACAACTGAACAGACTGGAATCCAACGATGTTGATATCTAACTTAAACTAATCCACGAAATTGCGCCACTATTCACCATTGTTATCGGTGAATTACTATCTCACAACAAACCCAGTTGAACTTAACTGGTCACGGCTTCTTTCTAGATCTTCAGGATATACATTCTCGAAGCCAGTCTCTATTGATCATATGTTGATTAGTATCAGAAGGGGTTTGGTGGAGATTGTAACAATTTGAATAGTTGAGATCATGAGTCATATTGCTATAACTTGTGCCCTGTTCTATTAATGTATAACGTAATAATTCCGCCAATCAGAGAGTAGTGAATTATCGACCACATCAATGACTCATAAAAAAATGCGAGCAGCCTAGAGTCCTTATCGTTTCGGAATCCTGCCTAGCCCAGCCAGTTTAGTCCAGATAATCAATCTCAACATCTGCGATATGAATCATTTCTTTCACACATACTGCGTTTATGTACGAACCAGACAGACCACATCGTACCATAAAATATGAAACAATATTTGTACAAGATTTAGCCAAATGCGACTGTGAATAAGGGAGATAGAAATTAATATACCGGGAATAACTCAAAAATGGTAAATCGTATAATAATAGTTCATATGCAAAGTTCAGTTACTTAACAATTATACAATAAAAATATATGTGTCGTATTGGTCCATAAATAGATCCCAACAGTTACCATTCATTATTCTCATCGGGATATAACACATATTGATTCAAAATGGATGTAAACACTGAGCTGTTTTTTTGTCTGTTCAGCTGCTTCGTTAATAATTTAATATAATTTCCAGATTCTCATACGTCATGAATGTAATGTAAAAGCTAGAATAAATGTTATGCGTGTAACTAGGTCACATTGTCAATACAGTCCTTCAATTTCAAAGAATCAAATGAACACATGTACGCCTTTATAAAGTGCAGTTTAAACGTTTAAAAAACACCTATAAAACGATTTTAGTAGCAATCTTCGTTAAGATTAAGGAGTTTCATGTTGAAAACATGAAGGTAAATAATTTGGGTCTCATACTATTAGGTCCCAATAACCATAATGAATGGTAACTTTGGGATCCATTATGAACCAATACTGTGTGTTTATTTTTATCGTATAATTGTTAAATAACTAAACTATTCATATTCATATTCCTCTTATTATAAGCTTTATTTTGACCTATGAACTACTATTATACGATTTACCATTCTTGAATAATGCCCTATTTATTAGTCACTGCCTCCCACATTCACGGCCACATTTGGTTAAATCTTGTACAAATGTTTCATATTTTCTGGTACGTTGTGGTCTGTCTGGTTGGTATATAAACCTAGTATGCTTGAAATAAATGATTCATATCACAGAGGCTGAGATTGGTGTTTGTACTTAACAGGTAAATCTAGGCGAGAAACAGGACTAATCAGGACTCTACACTGCTCGTACAGGTTTTGTGCGTCTTTAGTCCGTTCGATAATTCACTGTTCTCTAATTGGTGGTATCGTGACGTTATACATTACCAAGGCACTCAGGACACAAGTTATAACACATATTGTATATTTAGATTGACAACGGTCAGGTAATATTAACGACTAAATAATTCTCTTAAGATTACAAATACACCTTGTTGACGAATGCCAAATAGCACGAAAACTAGGTCCAGGGTTTCTTGTCGACTAAATCTAACCACCATCTTATCTCAACATTGTGCACGCAATGTTAAGTCACTTAGACTAGTGAACACATTGCAACTTGATCAATGGAATTCCATCTGCACTAAGAAGGATCTGGCATATTTGACATTGATCATCACTCAGTGATCAACCAATTGTAAATTTAAGACATTTCTTGGCCAATTGTATACATTTATCATGGGTTTGATTTCAGATAGGTCCAACTTATTTAAGTGATTTAGACAATCGTAATAATTTCGAATACTGAATCTCATACATTAATAAATTTATATGGTAAAAATAAATTCAGTGAAGGGATCTTTTTTCAACGAATTAATTAACTAATTGTACAATCGTATATATTTATATATGGTGTAGTAGAAAGATTCTGATGCTGATTACGTAATATGATTAATAACATTAAAAGATTATGTGTGTGCAAATAAAAATCCTTATAAAACTAATAAGTTAGCAACAGATTATAATGTGAATGAAGTAATATATTACATTGGTTTTGTTACGACAATCAACGACAATAGAGGGGTTAAATGAAATGAAGTGATGTAAATAACTATTATCAATAAAATCATTAGAATATGAGAAGTAATTAAAGAGAGAGGGGAATATCTTCCTATACAAAGTATAATCATAATAATAGTTTAAAGCTATGGTAAAACGATAGGGATAAGATGTATTTTTTTTTGTATGCACAGTTCTGGCTTTAACTCATGATTTGCAAGAGCTTTTATTAGTTTAAGAATTTGAATATGAAGAAATCTAGATAGATTTGGATGAATTCTCAATCTCAAAAGTTTGGGGAAACCTCCAAAGTCAAATGACCTTCACCAAGGTCAAGAGAAATTTTAGGGAATTTCCCCAGTTCTCGGGAAACTTTGGGGTATTGGGCTTGTCTTGTGACGCAGTTGGATGATTTCCTTAATGTGTGTCCTATCCACATCCAACGCATCTTCCTCCACTGGAATCTGATTTGTTCTCTCTCACAGTAGTTGGGATGTGGATAGGTGGTGAATAAATGGATAGATATAAGTAATGATTGTGTTACGATGCACATTATCATAATTTATTATTTGTTCGAGAATGCAGTTGTTAACTAATTTGTATTCATCCTCAAATAATAAAATATGATAATGTACTTAGGTATTTATTTAAGAATTACTTTTGAATTTATATGAAATGATTATTTTATAATCTAATGTCATATCACTTAAGTTACAGTCGTTACTGAACTCTTTCCATTATATTTCGTAGTAGATAGTTGATTGAATTATTCAATATCACTATTAAGAATTGATTAGACGGACTCAAGTTTCATAGAAAACCAATGAAAAGTTGACTAGATTTTCTGAACATAGTTCAGGTATTTAGGTAGTAAAATTCTATGGGATACAAATAAAGCCTCAAAAGTGTTGCCAAGTTGCCCCTTCCAGCCAAACAAGTTAGTGAAGCCTTGTATGCCATTCTGGAGAGAAACAGGTCACATCAAAGCACGTCACAACTACCGGGGCTAGAATAGCTGTTTTTGCAATCGGTTGGAGTTTGCCCC